TTTTTATTATATATATAACATTACTTGTAGACTAAATAAATAATTTCTTAGTAAATATAAATAAAAAATTTGAAAAAGAAAAGCAAATACTGTCGTGGTACATCAAGTAGCACCCACATTTTGTTTTCCATTTGCATGAGCTGTGAAGGTGATATTAATTAGAGGATCCAATAAAAATCCACTATAGAAGCCAATAAGATAAGTGTGCAATTAAATTAAAGTGTAGGTCGAGGCAAAAACAATTGGACATGCATGCAAAATTTTCAAGAAAAAGAATTGGTGGACCAACAAGATAACTATATGTGATGAATGACGACTAGTATTTGATTTCCTCATAAATAACAGACAAGATGGCAGAAAAATATCTAATATTTCAACAATAAAACGCTATCACATTAATTATTTAGTATTTGTGGAATTCATTGCGTCATTAAATGATCGATATATCGAACCAGCTCACTAACACGTTATACCTCACTTAGAACACAAGTTCACTCGCAACAAGTCTTTTGCATTCTTACAACTATGCCGGAATCATTCCTCTTCAGCATCGCAGAGTCACTCGGCGCAAAGCTTGCTTCTTGGGCTTTTGAAGAAGCTTCTCAGCTGCTGGGCGTGTACGATCATCTCAAAGAGTTTAGAAAAACTCTCTCGTTAGTGAAGGCTGTTTTGTTAGATGCCTAGCAAAAGCAAGAGCACAACAATGAGCTGCAGGAATGGCTGAGGCAGCTCAAAGGTGTCTTCTACGTACGATGCATGTTAGATAATCTTAAATTTTAGTGATATCCGAGTTAGTTTATCTGTTTTATTTGTTTCAGTTTAGATAAGATAGTTTTTTATAAGATTTTTTTTGATAAGATATTTTGTTATTTTCTTGTTAATTTGATACGTTGTACAATGACTATTTAAAGGTCATCTCTTATTCAATAAAAAGTACAGTGAGTTGCTACGTTCACCCAATACTAGTATTACTCGTCTCTCTTATTTTTTCTACAAATTGGTATCAGAGCTTTATGCTCTGAGTGCCGAGTGTGAGAGGAAAACAGTGTGCGCCTGTGAAGGGGAAGAAAGAAGAAATAGAGAGTAATGGCGAAGGTTGTTAATGGAATGACCGTACCACAACTGTCAAAGAAAATCAATTATGATAATTGGTGTTTACAGATGAAGACCCTGTTGGGTTCCCAAAGTCTATGGGACATAGTGGAGAAGGGGTTCCAAGAACCCGAGGAGGACGAAGACCAATCTGTGGCTCAGATTGCTGCATTGGAAAAGACACGAGTGAAGACAAATCGGCTTTGTATTTTTTGTACAATGCCGTGGATGAGTCAGGTTTCGAGAAGATTGCAAACGTTGCATCTTCAAATAGCTGTGTTGTATGTTGTATGAGTTGTTTAAGCTGAAATGATGAGTTGTTGATTACTAAGATTAGAGGAGATGTTTTTCGAAGATGCTCATCCCATTGTGTGGATTGAGGAAGCTGTGGTGCTCTTAGAGCCCAATTTGTTGAAAACCCTCCTTGGGAAGCTGTCCTTTGGAGTGGTCATTGTTTTGTTCTCCTCTAAGTACTTAGTTGGTCCCGTGTGTGGGCAATGTCGATGCACACGTGTACAAAGCGACCACGGTATAGGGGTTAGGTCGAGTTATACTGATTACAAGCGATCAATCGAGTGAAGTACGAAGTCGGGAACTTAGTTCCTAACTGAGTATCGGAAGGTTGTGGTATTTGGAGGATAGTCGGTAGACTAATTTTATAGGTGGCTTAGTTAAGCTAGCTAATATCGTGGTAGGCCTAAAACCCAACTGTTCTATCTTGACATAGTACCATACTTCCTTGTTTAAGTGGCAAAGTCTGAGAAATCGTGAAGTTGTGATTGATATCCAAATTGTTGTTTACCTAGCAACCTAAAAAGGTTCTTTGTTGTCGGTTCGGTAGGACCTAACCACTTAAACTGCTCACCCATGTTGTAGGAGATCTCCGTGTTGAATTGCGTGACGATGCATAAGCTGTTAGATGTTGATTTTGTTGAATGATATGAGTTGTATGTGTGCAGTGTGTTGTGAAGCTGAGATGTAGATGTATGCTGTTATGTGTTGTATGTTAACTTTGTCAAAATTGATAATGTGTTGTTAAGTTGAAGCTGTTTATAATCATTTATATGCTGATTCTTTTCACTAGCTTACCCTTGCCTGTTTCCATGTGGGTTGGACTACAATGATCATACTGTGTATGGGAGCAGAGCAGGGATAGGCTGGAGAGTAGTAGCAGGACTACAGTTGGCAACTAGAGTTGATTTTGTTGTTTATGGCTACTTAATGTAGTTATTTTGTAGTTTTGTATATTGTCTTGTTGAGCCACAGGCTAGACTTATGTATATATATATATTTTCTTCTATATGCGTACTCTGTTCCTATGTGGTGATGTTTTGCTGTGTAATGGCTAGGCGGGTCATTACAGGGGATGGGTTTGACTCGCGGGGACGTGGACGGGTATCATGAAACTCATATCCGACCCGCTCTGTTGCCATCCCTACTGTTATGTGTAGAACTCATTATCCCACCAGACATACCTTCAAGGCATTGGCGTAGCTCAAATTAGGAAGTCTCTATCTTACTTGCATCAGACATAGGATTGATGGCTCCAGGCTTAAGGAGAAAGAAAAACCTCCGACTTGGTTATGTTAGGCATGATTTGAATGGAATTGGGCGTGAGGTGAGAGAATTAGTTATGTCTAAACTGACATTGGGCATCAATGGAGTGACATCAGATGTGAGATGAGAGACTCATCTTTGCCTGATTTAGGGTCGAGTGTGGACTTTATCACACTAGGCATAAGGGTCCAAGGGTTCTCTACCTCATCCACGTTAGATGCAGGTTGAATGGTATCAAACGTGGATGAGGCAGAGGACCTCTACCTCGATGGCATTTGATGTAGATTGGTTGCGGCGGGCGAACTTAAGAATGGAAGTCCCTGGATGGCTCACGTCGGGCATGGGAGAACCGCGTTGGGCGTGATATCAGATAGGGACTCAAGGAGTTGAGTTACTGGTATGGCGCCGGGCGTGATTAGATCTCACTGGGCGTCGAGACTCCATGGGGGTCTCTGCCTTCTATGGCGATAGGCACAGAATGAGCGCATCGGGCGTGATACCTTGGTGAGGTCTCTGCCTGACTTGCGTCGAGCGTGAGTTTGGTACGTCAGGCTTGGGAGACTCCTTGGAGTCTTTGCCTTCTATTGCACCGGGCAAAATTGAAATTGCGTCAGGCGCGTAAGAGCTTTAGAGCTCTCGGGTTGGGTCCAGGCCAGGTGCAAATTCTATTGCGTCGGGCGCGGATGTGTCTTTCTCTATAACTATGAAAATGCTGAATGTTGTTTATGCTGATTAATGTTGAATATGTTGTTTTAAATAGCTGAGTTGTGTTGTATGTTGTTTGAGCTGTTAATGTTGTTAAGCTGAGTTGTGTTGTATGTTGTTTGAGCTGTTAATGTTGTTAAGTTGAGTTGTGTTGTATGTTGTTTGAGTTGTTAATGCTGTTAAACTGAGCTGTGTTGTATGTTGTATGAGTTGTTTAAGCTGAAATGATGAGTTGTTGATTACTAAGATTAGAGGAGATGTTTTTCGAAGATGCTCATCCCATTGTGTGGATTGAGGAAGCTGTGGTGCTCTTAGAGCCCAATTTGTTGAAAACCCTCCTTGGGAAGCTGTCCTTTGGAGTGGTCATTGTTTTGTTCTCCTCTAAGTACTTAGTTGGTCCCGTGTGTGGGCAATGTCGATGCACACGTGTACAAAGCGACCACGGTATAGGGGTTAGGTCGAGTTATACTGATTACAAGCGATCAATCGAGTGAAGTACGAAGTGATCAAGGACGAGGTAGAGGACGAGGTGATCATGGAGGTGAACAAGGACGAGGTGATCGTAGCTAAGGAAGGAAGTTAGCCAAGGTCGGAGGTGAAATGTTATAAGTGTGGCAAACTCGGTCACTACGCAAAGGAATGCAGATCGACAAATTGCTACAACTGTGGTCGATCAATCGAGTGAAGTACGAAGTCGGGAACTTAGTTCCTAACTGAGTATCGGAAGGTTGTGGTATTTGGAGGATAGTCGGTAGACTAATTTTATAGGTGGCTTAGTTAAGCTAGCTAATATCGTGGTAGGCCTAAAACCCAACTGTTCTATCTTGACATAGTACCATACTTCCTTGTTTAAGTGGCAAAGTCTGAGAAATCGTGAAGTTGTGATTGATATCCAAATTGTTGTTTACCTAGCAACCTAAAAAGGTTCTTTGTTGTCGGTTCGGTAGGACCTAACCACTTAAACTGCTCACCCATGTTGTAGGAGATCTCCGTGTTGAATTGCGTGACGATGCATAAGCTGTTAGATGTTGATTTTGTTGAATGATATGAGTTGTATGTGTGCAGTGTGTTGTGAAGCTGAGATGTAGATGTATGCTGTTATGTGTTGTATGTTAACTTTGTCAAAATTGATAATGTGTTGTTAAGTTGAAGCTGTTTATAATCATTTATATGCTGATTCTTTTCACTAGCTTACCCTTGCCTGTTTCCATGTGGGTTGGACTACAATGATCATACTGTGTATGGGAGCAGAGCAGGGATAGGCTGGAGAGTAGTAGCAGGACTACAGTTGGCAACTAGAGTTGATTTTGTTGTTTATGGCTACTTAATGTAGTTATTTTGTAGTTTTGTATATTGTCTTGTTGAGCCACAGGCTAGACTTATGTATATATATATATTTTCTTCTATATGCGTACTCTGTTCCTATGTGGTGATGTTTTGCTGTGTAATGGCTAGGCGGGTCATTACAGGGGATGGGTTTGACTCGCGGGGACGTGGACGGGTATCATGAAACTCATATCCGACCCGCTCTGTTGCCATCCCTACTGTTATGTGTAGAACTCATTATCCCACCAGACATACCTTCAAGGCATTGGCGTAGCTCAAATTAGGAAGTCTCTATCTTACTTGCATCAGACATAGGATTGATGGCTCCAGGCTTAAGGAGAAAGAAAAACCTCCGACTTGGTTATGTTAGGCATGATTTGAATGGAATTGGGCGTGAGGTGAGAGAATTAGTTATGTCTAAACTGACATTGGGCATCAATGGAGTGACATCAGATGTATTGGTTGCGGCGGGCGAACTTAAGAATGGAAGTCCCTGGATGGCTCACGTCGGGCATGGGAGAACCGCGTTGGGCGTGATATCAGATAGGGACTCAAGGAGTTGAGTTACTGGTATGGCGCCGGGCGTGATTAGATCTCACTGGGCGTCGAGACTCCATGGGGGTCTCTGCCTTCTATGGCGATAGGCACAGAATGAGCGCATCGGGCGTGATACCTTGGTGAGGTCTCTGCCTGACTTGCGTCGAGCGTGAGTTTGGTACGTCAGGCTTGGGAGACTCCTTGGAGTCTTTGCCTTCTATTGCACCGGGCAAAATTGAAATTGCGTCAGGCGCGTAAGAGCTTTAGAGCTCTCGGGTTGGGTCCAGGCCAGGTGCAAATTCTATTGCGTCGGGCGCGGATGTGTCTTTCTCTATAACTATGAAAATGCTGAATGTTGTTTATGCTGATTAATGTTGAATATGTTGTTTTAAATAGCTGAGTTGTGTTGTATGTTGTTTGAGCTGTTAATGTTGTAAAGCTGAGTTGTGTTGTATGTTGTTTGAGCTGTTAATGTTGTTAAGTTGAGTTGTGTTGTATGTTGTTTGAGTTGTTAATGCTGTTAAACTGAGCTGTGTTGTATGTTGTATGAGTTGTTTAAGCTGAAATGATGAGTTGTTGATTACTAAGATTAGAGGAGATGTTTTTCGAAGATGCTCATCCCATTGTGTGGATTGAGGAAGCTGTGGTGCTCTTAGAGCCCAATTTGTTGAAAACCCTCCTTGGGAAGCTGTCCTTTGGAGTGGTCATTGTTTTGTTCTCCTCTAAGTACTTAGTTGGTCCCGTGTGTGGGCAATGTCGATGCACACGTGTACAAAGCGACCACGGTATAGGGGTTAGGTCGAGTTATACTGATTACAAGCGATCAATCGAGTGAAGTACGAAGTCGGGAACTTAGTTCCTAACTGAGTATCGGAAGGTTGTGGTATTTGGAGGATAGTCGGTAGACTAATTTTATAGGTGGCTTAGTTAAGCTAGCTAATATCGTGGTAGGCCTGAAACCCAACTGTTCTATCTTGACATAGTACCATACTTCCTTGTTTAAGTGGCAAAGTCTGAGAAATCGTGAAGTTGTGATTGATATCCAAATTGTTGTTTACCTAGCAACCTAAAAAGGTTCTTTGTTGTCGGTTCGGTAGGACCTAACCACTTAAACTGCTCACCCATGTTGTAGGAGATCTCCCCAATACTAGTATTACTCGTCTCTCTTATTTTTTCTACAATGCAGAAAATGTGCTGGATGAGTTTGAGTGCCAAACACCACGGAAGCAAGTGGTCAAAGCTCATGGCACCACCAAAGACAAGGTAGCTCACTTCTTCTCAACCTCTAATCCACTTGTTTTTCGTTATAGGTTGGGTCAACAAATTAAAGATGTCAGCAAGAGGCTTGACAGGGTTGCAACTGATAGGCTCAAGTTTGGTCTTCGAACAAATGATGTTGACACTCGTGTTGTGCATACGAGAGAGCTCACACACCCCCGTGTGCCAGATTTAGATATGATAGGAAGGGAGCATGATAAAGAAAAGATCATAGAGCTTTTGATTAATGATGGTGACACAAGTCTCTCTGTTATCCGCGTCGTAAGAATGGGAGGCTTGGGAAAGACCACACTTGCGCAGTTTGTGTTCAATGATAAGAGGACAAAAGAGTGTTTCTCATTGAAGATGTGGATCTGTGTTTCTGATAATTTTGATATTAAGCAATTGGTTATCAAAATCATCAGTGTTGCCAATGATTCAGCTTCAGTTGATGCCCCTCCTTGCCAACAGAATTTAAATATATTTGATCTGGAGCTACTGCAAAATCAATTGATAAACAAACTTGTTAGTAAAACATTCTTACTTGTCTCAGATGACGTGTGGAATGAAGATCATGTTAAATGGGTTGAGCTAAGGAATTTAGTACAAGTAGGTGCAACAGGAAGTAAAATTTTAGTGACTACACGTAGTCATAAAGTTGGTTCCATGATGGGTACCGTTCCCTCTCACATTTTAAAAGGCCTTTCTCCTAAGGATTCATTATCTTTGTTTGTCAAATGGGCATTTAAAGAAGGAGAGGAGAAAAAATATCCTCATTTGATAAATATTGGGAAAGAAATTGTGAAAAGATGCAGAAGAGTTCCATTGGCTATAAGAATATTAGAGAGTTTACTATTTTTGAAATTTGGAACAAATGAGTGGGAAAATGTGAGAAATAGTGAAATTTGGAATATTCTATAGAAAAAAGGTAACATTTTACCTGCACTTAAATTAAGTTATGATCTCATGCCTTCCTATTTAAGGCAATGTTTTGCATTGTTTTCCCTTTATCCAAAGAATTATCACTTCAATAATTCTGAGGTAAGTTCACTTTTGGGGGCACTTGGACTCCTTGCTTCACTGCAAAAGAATATGACACCAGAAGATCTTCCCAATCAGTACTTGTATGAACTACAATCAAGATCTTTTCTTCAAGATTTTGTTGACTTTAACAATATTTATTTCTTTAGAATACATGATTTGGTGCATGATCTTGCTATTTTTGTTGCAAAAGATGAGTGTTTATTTATAAATTCCCACATTGAAAATATTCCTAAGAATGTTCGACATCTGTCTTTTTGCCTGAAGACAATTTACTTGACAATTTATTCAACACAAAATCAATAGCCGTGAGAACCATATTGTTTCCAAATGCTAAAGCAAGAGCTAATAGTGCTTTTCTAAATACTTGTATGTCAAAGTTCAAATACTTGCGAGTTTTGGATTTAAGTGATTCGACATGCGAGACTTTGCCTTGTTTCATTGGTAAGTTGAAACATTTGACATATTTTAGTATTATGAATAATCACAATATTAAGAGACTCCCCGATACTATTTGCAAGCTCTAAAAATTGCAAGTGTTGAAACTTGATGGATGCACGGAACTGGAAGCATTGCCCAAAGGATTAAGAAAATTGATCTCTCTCCGTTATTTGGAGATAACCACAAAGCAATATGTTTTGCCTTACAATGAGATTGCTAAGTTGGGCTCACTTGCATATCTGTCTATTGAATCAAGCCAAAATTTGGAGTCTATCTTTGGAGGGGTCAAATTCCCTGCTCTTAAAATATTGTGTTTTGGTGACTGTCCAAGTCTTAAGTCTTTGCCATTGGATGTAAATTTTTTTCCTGAATTAGAAACTTTGGTCGTTAAAGGCTGTGGTAATTTGGACTTAGAACTGTGGAAAGACCACCATGAAGAACAATACCTCAAGTTGAAGTTAAAATATGTTCAATTTTGGGATTTACCACAACTGGTGGCCTTGCCTCGGTGGCTCCAAGAAACTGCAAACTCATTACAATGCTCAAGTATTTTCAATTGTGGCAATATTGAAATACTTCCAGAGTGGTTATCATCTCTAACTAATTTGAAAACACTTGTTATAGATGATTGCCCAATGCTTCTATCTCTCCCGGATAACATCCATCACCTCACTGCACTTGAAACTTTGATGATTGCAGGTTGTCCTAAACTATCTAGAAATTAAATGTCAACCCCATGTTAAAGAGTTTTGGCCCAAAATAAAAATATCACATATAAAAGAAGTTTGGATTGAAAAACCAAAACAACCGGAGGAAGAGGAATAGCAAGATAAGGAGGAATACTTTAATGGAATAGATAATTGTTGAAACACCTTGTTTTTTTCTTATTTATTTTTTTAAAGGTTTTATTTTTATTATGTGAATTGTTGTTCTTGATGAAACTGTTAATATGTTTTGAATTTGTTATGAGTATAACGGTTCACATCAAATTACACCTCAATCATTTGTTTGGTGTATGTAGGTTTCTTTTTTTAGTATATCTCATTTATCTTCTATTTTATCGGTTGTAAAATAAATTTGAGTTTTTAGGTAGGGATTTCAATTTAGAATCTCCATGATAGTCGTGTAACACTGCAATATTCATTTACTTTTTGAAATCCGAATTATAGTATATGGGTGCTTTTTCTTTCATTTATATTGATATATTGCACCATTTTACTTTTTCATTTATTTTAATATTCAGATGGCGATTCTTTTTAAATTTATTTATCAATAATCAGATGGAGATTTGATTGTATATTTAACAAACTAGACTTGGGATAACATTTCGGAGATATTTTAGTTTTTGTCCCTTATACAGTACAAAGGCGATAACTTAGGGAAACATGTGACTAAGTGGAAATGATCATCATGAACAATTTGTTGGTTTTATTTTTCATGAATTTGAACATAACTCTGATTAACTTATCTATAGTCTATACTATTATTAAAATTAGATTTTGACATTTGCTTTGTGTGGATTTATGAATAATAGATATGGTATAATTATAAAGTGTTATAATTATTTAAAAATGGGTTTAATGGTGATATATTTATATTGAAACAATTTTATACTGTCATTTAATTACAGTAAATTTATTGACTTTTATAATAAATATCTTAAAAATCTTAAAAATTGTGATTTCTAATTTATTAAACTTTTTATACCGAAAACATATGAACACTAAATTCTTTAAAAATACTACATTAAATTATAAAAATAAATATTTATAAATATCTGTTGAAATTATATGTAGAATCAAACATTTGTCAAAAGAATAATAACTATATGAATTATTTGTAAATTAATATTTTATATGATATAATTTGAGGATATTGGAGATATTTAAAAACAATTATAAGTATTATATTAATTTTAAATAATTAATATTTATTGAAATTATACATAAAAAATTAACATTTATTTGTCAAAATCATATTAATTATAGAAACTATTTCTAAACTAATATTTTACAAAATTTTAATTTACAAGTTAAAATATTTTATAATCATATGTAAAAGTTGAATATTTGTCAAAATTTAGGAGACAACCATTTCTAAGTAATAAACCACAGTGAATCTAAAACAAATTTTTTTTCAAGAAAAATGTGAGCGATAAAATATGTATAGTTTAACACGGTTACCTTTTTAGTGTTATATTTTTTTTTGTAGTAACTTAGTATAACTTCAACTACACCCCGAAATTATTGTCCGAATTCCAGATATATCATATATCAATATCAAACCTTCAAGAATGATGATCCTAGGCTCCCTAGGAACAAAGAGGTTTCTGTTTTGTTTAGATAGTGAATGAAGGAAGCAACCTTGCTGAGATAAACTTTAAGTGAAAGAAGCCGCAAATTTCTCAAATTCTCAATGCATTATTTGGCATGGAAACAACACTTCAATCATGAAGTATCTCTCACTAAAAAAAAAAAAAAAAAACCATTGATCATTGATCAAAGCAAGTATCGTATCTCTAGGACATGGTCCAGTTAAAGTGAAGATGATAGACAATAAAACAATTCCATTGCGGTCAAATTACTCCCAACCAAATTGTATATGCATATGTATGACCCAATTGAATACGATTTCAGTAGTAAAGAGAAATCCAATTGACAAAATTCTATATTTAGGAAACATGATATTGAAAAACATCAACTTTCTCAGGATATAAGATATAAAAAGAGGAGAAAACAAGGGAGAGAGCATGAGAGCAAAGGTACGGATAAGTTATCGAATTTGATGTTGACTTGGACAAGGTCTGGACATAATTTGACTTTGTTGGATTTGTCATCAATGACTTAAGTAAGAAGGGTTTTCTACGAAGGGCAGTGCTGATCCAAGAATATCATCATTAAATGTTTGTTATGGTGAATACATAAATAAAATATGAGAAGAGATAAATGATGAGATTTAGTGGAGAAGATATATTTCAGAGAAGTTACAAATAAATTGAGATGAAAATAACAACGGAAAGAGTAAATCATGGTTCAACAAAAAGGAGTAGCAACTTTTGCATGTCAAGAGCGTGTAACTCACGAAGGCATGAGAGAAAAGAAATTAAGTGAAAGTAAATTAGAGCGAGCGTACAACTAACGGAGGCTTCACATCACATAGATTTATTCCAATTTAATATATACAAGGTGATGTTTTATTTAATTAATCAATTGAGAGGAAACAACACCAAAAAAAAAATCAATTGAGAGGAAAAGAATTAGTAACTTTGGTTGAGTATGTTTTAACTATAAGACTAAAGAGAGGTTAAGTTTTAAAGATTATTATCTTTCCTTTGATCAGTTTTCATTTTATTTTCATGTACGCATTTGTGCTTTAAAGTCCAAAAAAATTAGAGGAAGGGGAAATTAGTGTTATATTTGTCTTTTAGTGTTTATTTAAGTAAGGGTAAGTGAGAAACCTTATTAAAGGTGTGAGATTATATGTTGGGTATTGATATTGGCCTTCAATCCTATCTCTGTTGTATGCTACATTAGGGATTTTCTCCAAATGCGACTATTTTGTCTCTTGTTCTTCTTACTCAATTTTCATGACATGAATTACTTTAATGTAAGATTAATTACATGATTTATCTTGTAATTGTATGATTTGAGATTCTTATGAGTTTTTATGGAAAATCCTTTGGGAACTTGTTGTAATAGTTGTGTGAAGATATTGGTTTATATATGTAAATTGAGTAAATATGGAGTGTCAATGGTATGTTATAGAGCATTCTTATCGATTGAATTGTGTCTTTTGTGAATTGACATGTGACTCGTAATTCTAAGTTTTTCTGCTATGCATGTTGTTTTTAATACGATGTTAAGTGCCACTTGGGGTGCATTAGACATCGTCGAAGCAGAGAGCAAATATTGTTCTTGAAGTCTCCAACGTCGAGCGTGGGATGACCTTCGTTGGACACAAAAGCTCCAAGGGGTGTGAGATGACTCACATCATGTATGGACACCCTAGAGGGTTCTCGATGGTGTTCTCATTAGGTGCAAACACACAATCACGTTGCGTGCAACCTAGATAGAGAACAATGTGGATCTCTAGTTGACTCATGTTAGACGCAATGCATGTGCTGCTTGGCACTGTCCTACCTAAGAACCTTTTATTGTTCTTTTGTTGATTTCCATGTATAACTCGTATATTGTGATGTTGTTGTGAATGTGAAATGATATCTATATATGAATATATGAACCTAAAATGATGAGTAATGTGATATGAGAAAGATGTAAAATGTGAAACTATGATTTCATGGGAATGTAATGCATTGAATTTGTTTAATATGCATCATTTACATAAAATGTGTTTTTGGGGTATACTATAGAATACACCATCAGGAAAGATCACTTGTGTAAAAGCTTGGCGACCAACCTTAGAGATAACATATATTGGGAAGTCTCACTCTTGCCCATATCTTGAGCAACTTAGCTATCTCAAGTAGATCCTGGTAGTATGTTCTCCTAGTAAGAGTGTGACTTGACATGTACTCATAAGCTACTCCACTTGTATTACTAGTAGTAATGCACAAATGTGATATTTTTATTGACGTTACATACATGATAAAATGTAGTCTATGTCCATTGCATAATGTATTGTAATGTTATATGTTATTATTTATTATGCTATGAATGAAACAAGTGTGATGATAATATTTTCTATGGATGAAGTTCTAGTAAAGGGTTGTCTCTAGCTTGCCTCGTTCAGAGCTTCTGTCGTAGTTGTTTTAAGTGAAATCTAGCTCGCGCAGAGCGAGCGACTCATTTGCTTAAGTGAGCTATTATGTGCTTCCAAGGGTAGCATTTGACTTGTTTCGCTTAAAGCTCTCGTTGTAGTTGTTCTAAGTGAACTCTGGCTTGCTTAAAGCGAGTAACTCAATCGCTTAAGCAAGCTATTATGTGCATCTAGGAGTAGCCTCTGTATAAACTAGCTCAAAGCGAGTAGTTGATTGATTAAAGTGAATTCTTTTAAAAAGATTCGCTCATAGTGCATCTGGTTGATCTTGGAATGATCTTGGGTTTTTTTTGTTATTTTATAATTTGTAGTTTCTAATTTCCTTTCTCCATGTGTTACATCCTAACAAAGAAATTATTAAAAATACCTAAGATTAAGCAATTTCATCCTAAATTAAAATTAACTTTAAATGCATATTTGTGATTTAAAACAAGATTTTGAAGTATAAAATATATTTAATAATTATCTAAATTAAATAAAAAAAATATTAAAATATTTAATCATTTTCAAAAATTTCAACCATGTTGTCAAGTGGAAGAAAAATATTAGTATTTCAGCATTATAAACTTATAACTCGGTTGCGTGGTACATTAATTATTAATCCACTATGCAAGCCAGTACTGTACGATTAATTAAAGAATTGTTTTGGCTCTTGGATGTTGCTGGTTCATGGGTTGTTGAAAAATAAAAATATTTTAAGCGAAAAAAGAAAAAAAAATTATAACATATACCATGTGGCCTAGGGGATAGAAACAAAAACATATTTTATATAATTGATTGATGATAAGAACTACAATATTAAATCAAATCAAATCGTATTGAATTACTCTGCATATCGTACTCTAATTATCATTAAAAAGTTATAATTAACTATAGCCGGCAATCTTGAACCCTTCCCAAAGGTAGTTGACTAAAAATTGTTAACAATGTTTCTCTTTATTTATTTATTTTTTCAATTTTTGTTTTAAATCTCTAGAAGGTGCAGGATGCCAGCCATGATGTCAAACGAAAGAAACCTATTTAGTAATTAAATATTATAAATAACAGAGGTTGGTAGAATGTGACATTTATTATTATGGAATTCACTATATATGAAAAGCAAGTGCATATGGTTAATTAAGTGATCAGTGGGAACAAAAGTTGACTTAGCAACAAGTGTTTTGCATTCCGATCTGTGGTGAGTTTCTGACAACAACTATGGCGGAATCATTTCTCTTCAGCATCGCAGAGTCACTCATGGTAAAGCTTGCTTCTCGGGCTTACGAAGAAGCTTCTCAGGTGCTGGGTGTATATGATGAACTCAAAGAGTTTAACGGAACTCTCTCAATAGTGAAGGCTGTGCTGTTAGATGCTGACCAAAAGCAGGAGCAGAATCATGAATTGCAAGAATGGCTGAAGCAGATCAAACGTGTCTTCTACGATGCTGAAGATGTGTTGGATGAATTTGAGTGCCAAACACTACGAAAGCAAGTGGTCAAAACTCATGGTACCACCAAAGACAAGGTAGGTCACTTCTTCTCAAGCTCTAATCCACTTGTTTTTCGTTATAGGATGGCTCACAAAATTAAAGATATCAGCAAGAGGCTTGACAAGGTTGCAGCTGATAGGCATAAGTTTGGCCTTCAAATAATTCATGTTGACACACGTGTTGTGCATACGAGAGAATTGACACACTCTCGTGTGGTTAATTCAGATGTTATAGGAAGAGAACAAGATAAAGAAAAGATTATAAAGCTTTTAATGCAGGAGAATTCTAATGATGATGATAAAAGTCTATCTGTTATCCCCATCATGGGGATGGGAGGCTTGGGAAAGACAACACTTGCAAAGATTGTGTTCAATGATGAGAGAACAATTGATTATTTCTCATTGAAAATGTGGGTGTGTGTTTCTGATGACTTTGATATTAAGCAACTAATTATCAAAATCATCAATTCTGCTGTTGATTTTGTTTCTCCTGATGCTCCTCCTCTCCAACAAAATTTAAATATGTTGGATCTGGAGCAACTGCAAAGTCAACTGATAAACAAACTTGTCGGTCAAAGATTTTTACTTGTCTTAGATGATGTATGGAACGATGACCGTGTTAAATGGATTGAATTGAGAAATTTCATACAAGTAGGTGCAGCAGGAAGTAAAATTTTAGTGACTACACGAAGTCAAACAATTGCTTTCATGATGGGAACTGTTCCCGCTCACATTTTAGAAGGTCTTTCCCCAGAAGATTCATTATCTTTATTTGTCAAATGGGCATTTAAAGAAGGAGAAGAGGAAAAACATACTCATTTAGTAAATATTGGGAGAGAAATTGTGAAAAGATGTAAAGGGGTTCCATTGGCTGTGAGAACATTAGGGAGTTCACTATTTTCGAAAGTTGGGACAAATGAGTGGGAAAATGTGAGAGATAGTGAAATTTGGAATATTCCACAGAAAAAAGGTGACATTTTACCTGCACTTAAATTAAGTTATGATCTCATGCCTTCCTATTTGAGGCAATGCTTTGCATTGTTTTCCCTTTACCCAAAGGATTATCAATTTTCTAATATGGGGTTAACTGGGCTTTGGTCAGCACTTGGCCTCCTTGCTTCACAGAACAAGAATAGGACACCGGAAGATGTTGCCAATCAATATTTGTATGAATTGTTGTCAAAATCTTTTCTTCAAGATTTTTATGACCTTGGCACTCTTTTTTTATTTAAAATACATGATTTGGTGCATGATCTTGCTCTATTTATTGCAAAGGATGAGTGTCTATTTATAAATTCTCCCAATCAAAATATTCCTGACAATGTTCGACATCTATCTTTTGCTGAGTACAATTTAGTTGATAATTTACTCACCACAAAATCAGTGGTTGTGAGAAGCATATTGTTTCCAAATGGTGCAATAGGAGCCAACATTGAGGCTATGCTAAATATTTGTTTGTCAAAGTTCAAATGCTTGCGAGTTTTAGATTTAAGTTGTTCCACATGCAAAACTTTGCCTCGTTCCATTGGCAAGTTAAAACACTTGAGATATTTCAGCATTGCGAATAATCACAATATTAAAAGTCTCCCCAACTCTATTTGCAAGCTCCAACATTTACAAGCTTTGGACCTTAGTGGATGCACGGAGCTGGAAGCATTGCCCAAAGGATTAAGAAAATTGATCAATCTGCTAGTTTTGGAGATAACCACAAAGCAATCTATTCTTCCCGACAATGAGATTGCCAACTTGAGCATGCTTACATATTTGACTATTAATTCAAGCCAAAATGTGGAGTCTATCTTTGGAGGTGTGAAATTCCCTGCTCTTAAAACATTAGCTCTTTGTGATTGTCCAAGTCTAAAGTCTTTGCCACTAAATGTTGAAAAAATTCCTAATTTAGAAACTTTGTTAATCAAAGATTGTGGTAATTTGGACTTGGATCCTTGGAAGGACAACCATGAAGAACAAAACAGCAATTTGAAGTTAAGATATGTTCAATTTGTGGATTTACCACAACTGGTGGTCTTGCCTCAATGGCTTCAAGAAACTATCAACTCATTACAGTTATTATCTATTTCAAACTGCAACAATCTTGAAATGCTTCCAGAGTGGTTGTCAACTCTAACTAATTTGAAAACACTCAGTATAATGGGTTGTCCAAAACTTCTATCTCTCCCAGATAACATTCATCACCTCACCACACTTGAATTTTTGAAGATTGAAGGTTGCCGTGAATTAAGTAGAAAATATCAGCCCTATGTTGGAGAGTTTTGGTTCAAATTATCACATATTAAAAAAGTTTTCATTGAAGAACCATAAGAAATAAATGGAGAGAAAGAAAAAAAGGAAGAGTAAGACGAAGAGGAATGTTTTAATGAAATAGAGATGAATTGAAGCCTTGTTTTACTTATTTCTTATAATGGGGGTGTTTTCTATTATGTAGACTATTGTTCTTGATGGTTTTCTTAATTTGTTTTGAACTTTTCGTGAGTATATTATTAAGTTCACATCAAATTGTACTTGGATTTTTGTTTGGTGTATTTAGAATTATATTTCTTTTTTCTTTCGTGAAAATAAATTTGAGATTTTAGAAAGTATTATCAAACTCGACTAGGTCCAATAGTTGGAATGGTGTGATCAGGAGCTGAAACTTACACTAATTTGATTTAAGCATCAGATCATATATGTAATTAAGTTGATGTTAACTACTTAAATTGGTTAAAAATTCAATTCAACTGATTAAAACCCATGTCGGACAAATATAACAAACCTTAACACATATTTTGTGTGACAAAAAAATTGGATACTTGGCATTAGGCAAATGTCAAACCCATATCCTTTGGGTTTTTGAGGGAATGAAATATCTTGACAATAGCGATGCTTTGTTGACATCATATAACAAAAATAGTTTTTATACTATATTGTTAATATAAAAGATATATTTAATAATATATGATTCATATGAATTAACTAATGATTTATTCGTTCAAGTACTGACTCAATTTTTGAATCGAGTCGATATCAATTTGGTTTTGATATGTGTTTCTAAGTAAAATATTTCAATTTAGAACTTTTGAGATAGTTGTGTAATATTGTTTATTTTTAAAAATTTTAATTGCGGTGGCTTTTTTTCCTTTCATTTATATTGATATGCGTAATTTCACGTTTTTCATTTATATTGATATTGAGATTTTTTTATGTTAGAATCTAGATGGTGATTTTATCATATATTCAATAAATTGGACTCATGATGAAGATAGCGTTTATGTTTTTTCCGCACTTTTGAACATATAATTGTTTAGGTTTAAATAGTTCGTAGGCCTTGTAATTTTAAAAGCGATTCTCTTTTGCACATCCCAACTCGTCACTTTAAAACATTAAGCATGGAGTTATAACAATTGATTAAAAAAACGTAGTATTGAGATTGTGATAAGATACAGATAACAAACTATTAAGTAATTAAACTATATTGATTTTCCAATATAACGGCTATATCTCTATATTTAATCTTTGAATGTGCACCTTTCACCGTAGAGTATCACTTCCTCTCTTCCACTTGCTGTTGAGATTAAGAAGTGTGCTATAAATATACTCTCTAACACATTTTTTCACACATTCATTTTCATTAATTAGAATTAATTAAAAACTATAAAATTAGAAGAGAAAGAGAGATTAAATAAGATGTAAGCCTTATCAAATTTTATATTTTTTTTAACAATTTTTAATCAATTAAAAGAAATATATTTAAGAGAGTGTGTTTAGGAGTGTATTATTAATATTTTTACCTATACTTGAGGAATTATTACGTCTTAAATAATTAAATAATTGATAGAAGAGTGGTGAGGCATAATTACAAATTAATTTTGTTGCAAACAAGTTTTTAACTTAAGGTAGTGGTTTTTCTTGTTCAATTGCTTGGAAGTGATGAGGTGTTCCAACTCCTAACTCCCATTTGTGTCATCAAGGTTACTATCATAGATTTGTAGTTAGATACTATTATATTGGATAGTACAAGTTCAATAGACTCGTCTGATGAGAAACGGTGTTTTATGTGGGAGAGACTGAGCTTCTATGTTGGATACTTGATTTATCAATTAATGTTGCAACACAAGTAATAAGGGAAAGGGGAACGATCCTCTTGCTTATAACAATCTATATATAATATAAATTTGTTTATTTGGATAAATTTCTCTAAAAATATTTTTTTTAAAAAAATAAGAAGAATAAGTTAAATAAGTTTTTGTATAAACTAAAACTAACTTATGCATAAACACAACTTAATTTATAATTTTTTGAAAAATTATGAAAGAATTTTTACAAATTAGTTTATTCATAAGTTAATTTTAACTTAAGAAAAAACTTATTTCATTTTTTCCTATTATCTTTTGTCTAAAATATTTCTAGAAAAATTTATCTAAATATGTTCTTATGTTGACAATTAGTTCATAAATTCTACGATGCACGAGAATATGAATATATTAACTAATATAAATTTATTTTTAAATACATAAATTAATTTTTAACTCGACCATAAGTTATAATGGATAAAAATAAAATTTAAGACCAACATATATAGCATAAATTTGATTTTTTTTTTTAGTGAGAAGTGGATCCGTTAAGCTAAAGAAATAGATTCAACTCAGAAAAACATTTGAAATTTTGAGACTCTTCAAATTCCTTAAATTTTGCCTTCTTGATTTTGGTCTTTTAATAACTCATGACTATTTTGAACAAAATGTTATTCATGAGGAACAAAAGTTGGTAGTTGAAATATTATTTAAAAATAAATACTATGTAAACATAATACAAACTCAAGGAAGAGAAACACTATAACAAAAAGATGGGCTTAGGTTGCAATTGTAGGTTTCCATGCTTATCAATTAAAGTAGTTCTCAAATCATTACTATCACATCTATCTTTTGCTCTATACATGCAATCCATCATTGATGAAGCATGAAACCTTGCTTAAGAATCTTTCCCTTGAACTCTCCTTGCTATCCCCAATAGTAAAGGGTCGACAACAAATACAACTCATTATGCATAGGCAACATAACAAACAACCCTTCCCACAAAAACTATTTTAAATCTCAATTTCACCCCTTCAATTACATTCCCAATATATTATCGTAACATTCTCATTTTCATTTCACTACCCATAACAACCAATGTTATACACAAAAAAACAAATTATAAAAATAGCAACAATTACAACAGTAACCTAATATTTTGATAACCTCAAATGTGATCTCAAATCACACAATCCACAAAAACTCAATAAAATGACTAAATAGTTTACAACCTCAAATTCAACAAAGCAAACCCAAACATTGCATTCAATGCCCTACAAGAGTAAGCAATTCAACAACATATGACAAGATCATATTTTACTACACCAATGTCATTCAATTATGAAATAAACAAGCATATGAATCACATGAAATCACACCACATCATATGCAAACACCTCAATTAATGTTTTGTTACACATTCCCTTATAAAGATCTCCTACAACACATGAGCAGTCTAAGTGGCTTAACCCTAACGAATCAACTAATCATTTTCACACCATACCAACTTGATAGATCGAAAACTGAATTGGGATACCAATTCCTACCACATGATTTCTTGAATATCATCACTAAAATTAGGAAAGTTCAATACCATTGTTAGACATAGTATAGCTTGGATTTAAGCCTACCACGATATTGACATGCATTAACCAAGTTTCTTATGGGATTAACATGTTAACTATCCTCGCAACACCACACATCTCTCCCATAAGAAATTAAGGGTTGTAGTCATCAACTTCGTACCTTACTCCAACATCAACTAAGAATTTAAAGGAGAATCACCAATTCACTCCAAGAGTTAACACCTACTAAAGGAAGGTTTTTCAACAATTGAACTTATAGAGCATCATATAAATATCCACATAATGAGATATTTAACTTTCGAAATCAACCTTTCCTCTAATCTTAAGTCAATCAATATGCCTAAATGTCTATAACATTGTAAGCATCACTCGTCAAATAATGCATCAACACAACATGCCTAAATGCCTAAAGCACTCTTAGCATCAATGCCTCAATAATCATCTATATGCATTACCCTGGGTCAATGGATATATATCTAACAACATTCATCAATTTACAGCATGCTAATGCATCTCAACCATGTCAACCATACAATCATCTATATATATCATCTCAGGTTAATATACATAGAACATGCATAGCCAATCAACATATAACATGCAATAAATTTACATGAAATATTCATGTTCACCATTTTAATCATTCAAACAACACATTTTTACAAGACAATTCGTGCCTGACGCTTTCTAACCTACATTAATGCTATTGAGGCAGGGTGTTCATTGCCTCGCCCAAGTTCGATGCCACAAAACTCATGCCCAACATGAATTAGGTAAAGACCCTTGGGCCCTCACGCCTAGCATGACAAAGTCTCACACTTGGCCTTAATCCAACCCGAGACGATTCTCTCTCCTCATGTTCGGCACCACCAATTTTGCACCTAGCATGAGCAAGATAGAGGCCCCCTGGTTGAAGCCACGCCCAATGCCTACAAGGTGCGGTCAGTGCAACGATGATTTCTGCGCATAGAATACTCATGAATTTGCTCAATGCCACCTTAAATCTAGGATTCTTCAACATGCAACACCACATATCATTCATATACCTCAATAAAACTTATTCCACACAAAAATGTCAACATGCAACAAAAAAAGAAATCAAATCATCAAAATTACAAACCTTAAGCTCAAAGCACCCAAAATCCACTCCCTTCATCATACCATTCGAGAACTTCAACAACACCACAACATTTTTTATGAAAACCAACAACATGCAACTCAACCAAAGCATCATCAAGTCATTCTTAGCTTCCCTAGAGGAAAAAAGGAAGAACTAGTTGTGAGCTTTTGAACTCTAAGAAACCCCGCACCACGTCTTTACAAGGATGATCTTCAGCCAAAAGCCTCTTATCAACCCTCATGCATCAAACGAAGATCTACTACTCTCCTGGGAAGTCTAGAAAGAAAAGAAAAATGATCACAATTTTCAAAGCTTCTCTCTCTAGTTTATCTCTCTAAAATTTCTTAAGAATGAACTTATGAAGCTCAATTCTTAAAAGAAACCTTATATACTCCTCTCCCTTAAGGTCAAACTGGACCTTTGTCTTATGACCACTCTTGTGCTTTTCACCACTTGTTATCTTCTTTATCTTATGTCACTTATGATCTCACCCATAAATAAGTAATCACCTTCCATTGATGTTTGCAGTTTTAAGCTATGACGACTTATGACAGTTGAAATCAATTACATCCCATATTTTCATTTTTTTTAACATAAATGTGCACTCAAATAATATATGATGAAATAAACATGAAAATCTAAAGAAATAAAGGTAGTTTCAGTGAAAATGAAGAGAGGTTATATGAAGGTAACTTTGGTTTGATCATAGTTAGGAAATATATATAGTTTGATTAGAAAGAGAAAAAAAGTGA